ATCACAGATTTGTACCTCTGAAACAAATAATACATTATATGTTAAAAAAAAAAAGAAGATAGTAGAAAGGGAAAAATGAAGGGGGGAAATTGGAGGGGGAGACGAACCATGAGAGACTATGAGCTCTGAGAAACAAACTGAGGGTTTTAGAGGGGAGGGGCGTAGGGGGATGGGTTAGCCTGGTGATGGGTATTGAGGAGGGCACGTATTGCATGGAGCACTGGGTGTTATATGGAAACAATGAATCATGGAACACTACATCAAAAACTAATGATGTAATGTATGGTGACTAACATAACATAATAAAATTAAATTTAAAAAAAAAGATGAAAAAAAACCCCAAAAAACTAAATCACCCCATGCATCCCAGCTATAAATGTTTATTGTTATGTGTTATTTGTTGCTTCTTTCTCTTTTGCTGTGCAATGTAAATGCAGCTATAGACCACAGATATATTACTTAGGATTCCCTATTTAGCTTCTGCAATATTGTGTTTCTTTGATTTTAGTGGCTTTTTATTTTTGGTTTCTAATTTGATCATGCTGTGGTCAGAGAATTCCTCTGTAAGGTATTGCTTCCTTGAAATTTCCTGAGACTTCCTTGGTGGCACAGCATATATTAATATTTGGAAATATTCCATAGATGCTTGAAATAAACATATGTCAGCTTTTAGTTTGTTTTATAATTGTGTTCTTTGAATTTTCAGTATCCTTTCTAATGTTACATTTACTAAATCAATTATTTCATGATAGAATTCTATTAAATTTTTCCAGGCTGATAATAGGTTTGCCAATTTCTTATTGTATCTCTGTTACTTTTTAGTGTGTGCATTTAAAGACTAAGAGATTAGGTGCATAAAACATTGCTCTACTATTCATATTTTAAGGGTAGGTTGCTTCTACTTCTGATAATAGCGCAGACTTTAGCTTAATATTTGCCTAATGTAGCTTTATCCGTCTCTTTTTTATTTTTTATTTTTTTTTAAATTGCATTTTATCTTGTGTATACTTTTTTTTAAAGGTTATTTATTTATTTATTACCCTGCAAACAGAAAAAGAGCAGCCTGATAAT